CCTGTTTTCCTGGGACACTTCTGCTTTCCCTCTGCCAACAGCACCCCATTGCCCTTTCACAATCCCTGTCTAGATGCTAAGTCACCACCGATATCCCTGCAATGCCCATGATGACTTGGAGGACATTCCCGAAGCCCAGAGCTGTTTTCAGGGATGGTCCCAGAGCCTGGGACCACGTGCCCTGTCCTAAGGAAAATGCTCTGCAATGGTTCTGTGGCCACAGACCAGCAGCATCAGCATCACCCGAAACTTGTCAGAAGTGCACGTTCCCAGGCCCACCTTAGCCCCGCAGCATCAGCAACACTCCCCAGAAGATTCTGAGGTGCCCGCTGTGACTTCAGGGAAGGCGTGTGAGGGGCGGGAGGCATGAAGAGGCAGGGAAGACAGCTGCTAAACACAGGCAGGAGCCTGGGCTCTGGCCCCAACTCCATGCGCCACTAGCTGGGGAATTTCCTTGTGCCTGTTTCCTCGCCTGGAAACTGAACATGACAGCGCATCCCTTGTCTGTAAATCACTGAGATGCTACAGGTGAGAATTCTTCAAGTCTGGGAGCCTCACCAGTGCTGCCTGTTAACCGCCCCTCCCATCAACCATCCAAGAATGTTCTGCGACCTCCTACGATTGAATGAAAACTGGAGGAAGGATCGGTAACTTAAACTACGTAGATGACCCCATCTCCCGGCAGTCACAGTGACCTGAAATGACGTCGATGAAACTGAAAGAAGAAAAGTGCCAAACAGGCTGCATTTAAGCATCAAGAAGACAAAAACCTTAGCTGCAGAAGAAATGCAACTTTAACAGACAATGAAGATGTTGAAATTGTTGACTTGCTTACCTTGGTTCAGTCATCAATTCGAATGGAGGCTGCAGCCAAGAAATCTAGAGAAGGCTGGGCCTCGGAAGGGCAGCAATGGGAGGATTAGGAAAGATCACCAAGAGCAAAGATGTCACTGGAGACCAAGGCTACGACCGTCCACGCACATATTCCGGCAGCTACTGCGGATGCGGGGGAAGCCGCCAGGAGCACCGCTGACCCCGTGAACTATGGTGCGGGAGAGCTCTGCGCACACCTGGGCCGCGGGAAGGTGAACGGGCGGGTCCGAGAGCAAACTAAGCCTGAAGCACCACCGGAGGCAAAAGTGAGAGAACTGGCTGCCCCACCTCAGGGATGTCAGAAGGCTCTTTACAAAAGACAGTGATGTTGGGAAACAGTTGGCAGGGGAAGAGGACCAGCAAGCTGACACGGGCCCACAGCAGCAGCGCAGGCCGAGCCCGCAGAGCTGAGGGGGCTGGGGAGGGCGGGACACTGCGGGTGCCACCGTCACCGTGGCCGGGAGTCAGAGCCCCCTCAACGGCAGGTAACACACAAGGAAGTGCAAAACCATGAGCGGAAGATCCCCGAGATCGCTGAGATCCCTCGAAGATCCACTGGCTGAAGCAGCCTCTATACCCCCCC